CCCCGGTGTTCTGCCGCTCCCCGGCGGATTCGTTACCTTCTCGTCGTGTTTTTCCTCTTTCCTGATCGTATTCATTATATCTTCCATGTCATCATCATGATCGTCATCAACATCGCAATGTGGAAGGTCATCCTCTCTCTCTTCGTTTGTCCCCCCCCCATCTGATCGTGCTCATTAGACCTTCCACGTTATGTTGGTCTTTTTCCTTACCCTGTCATGCAATGTTGGTCGATCTTGGTCCTCACCCTGGGCCATGCATGTGTGCGGGAGTGAATGATCTTGGTCCTCACCCTGGGGCATGCATGTGTGCGGGAGTGAATGATTACACGGCGGCCATTTAGGGGTGGTATTGTAGCACTGGTACAGTTTTGAACACGTGTCATGGTTGCAGTGTTTTTATTTATTTATTTATTTATTATTATTATTATGGTTAACATGACCGGTGTCTTGAAATCAGAGATAGCCGGTTCGATTCCGTTGCAGAGTTAAATCACAGGGATGAGTTTGGATTGAGTGAAACTCATCACTCATGTCGTTCTTCATCCTTACCCTGGCCCTTGCATGTTGGTCTAGATTTTCATGGTGCTGCTTATCTTGGTCCTCGTCATCTTTGGTCTTCATCGTGACCCTTGTCATCATTGTTTCTACCTGCTGCGGCTGTTGAAAGGGTGGGAGTGTTGGTTTTGCACGGCGCAGTTTCAGTTTAGGGGTGTTCCTTTCTCAGATTGCATGTGGATGCAAATATATCGGCTGAGACCCTGAAATGGCATTCGAGACCTTGAAGTGACACTACAGACCTCGTCATGGCAGCAGAGACCCTGAAATGGCGTTGGCACTATAGACCCCAAAACCGGGGTTGGCTTTATAGGTAGTACGGTCTGCACAGCCGAGGTCCCAAAATGGGGTTAGGGACCCTGCAATCCGGTTGGAGACCCATAAATTGCATTGACCGTCTTATGTAGGCAGTGTGCATGATTCTCAATTCGATTTGAAGTTGCATTGGCCATCAGTTGTAGGTAGTATGCAATCACAGGTAGGATCCGTGCTACAAAAAATCGATTGGGAAAATAATTTCAAGGTGAAATAGTTATTAAAGGCCAAAACCAAAGACAAACTGATTGGGAAATAAACAAACCTTTCACATCAAGCCGTTTTGTGTGTCCTATCTTGACGGACGGGAGCAGTTCTTATGATGTCATTCAGGTTTTAGGGGTTGAAATACAGTCAAAGACTGGTGTGATTAGGGGAGGGTTTGAGGTTTAGGGGTTGAAATACAGTCAAAGACTTGTGTGATTAGGGGAGGGGAGGGTTTGAAACACAGTCAAAGACTTATGTTGCCTGCCGGAGTTGTCCCGGTGTCTGATATGGCCACGGGTTGTAATTTGCATCTCCGTGGAAGGCGAAGAGACCGATTTGTACTGTGTTCAATCTGCCTGTTGCCCGCAAATCTGTCAGTCTCTCTTGACTAAATGTGAATCATTACGAGAATTTGTATCGTGGTTCCGATCTCCAACCATTAGTCTAAGAATAAGGCGAGGCGAGTTACAGGAATACCTTTTGCGTTCTGAAGTCTAATGATCTCTTTTTTTTGCAAGTTCCTTGAAAGCACCGGCAGAGCGACCATACATCGGCCCGCGGGTGTCAGCATGAAAAACCCGCACCACTTCGGACGCCGCCGATTTCGTTTTTCTCAACGGCGCCCCGCGCCGCGCGGCTCCTCTGAGTTTTGCTTGGCGCCAAAAAACTTTCTGCAAGGCTGCTGGGGCCGTGTACTGCCGGCGGTTTAACAAGTTTGTCCAAATGAGGCCTAACTTAAAGAACTGTCTATTGGTTTCTTGGTTGGCCCGCCCCTTCTTTTAGTTTGTCCAAAGGAGGTCTAACTTAAAGAACTGTCTTATATTGGTTTCTTGATTGGACCATGGACCGCCTTCTTCTCACTCAGTTCCCATCTACGCGTCGGTTGCAGGTTGCAGGTTGTTGTACCTAAAATTTCAAGAGAAATATCGCTGGCATGTGTGCAGCAGGGCAACAACCGACGAATTTCCAAGAGGATCATAGCTGGCATATGTGGCTGTTTCACTGGCTGGACAGCGGCTCTTGCATGCGGGCTATGACATAGTTGTGTGTTCTTCGCTGGATGGACCGCGGACTCGGAGGTGGTGACCGGCAGGTGGTTTGGCGGCCTGCCAGTAGTGCTTACCCTTGTTATAGCTGACTCTACGTGTCCCCATTTCATTTGTGGTGTGTTGACTCTCCTTGTCCCGATTGCATTTGTTTGACTCTCCTTGTCCCGATTGCATTTGTTTGACTCTCCTTGTCCCGATTGCATTTGTGGGTGTATCAGTGCAACAACTTCCAATGTTACTGCACGGTGATTAGCACGTGGGGGAAAGCTCGATTCGATTGAAGTTCCTCCGATTTGTTTGGTTGTTTTAATTTGGATTTGAAGCATTTGATTTGATCTGATTTGATTTGATATGAAGCATTTGATTTGATTTGATTTGATTTGATATGATATGATGTCGTCTTTAATTTCATCTGCTTAGAACTAGTCCAGGTCCGTGAGGCCGATTTGTTTGGTTGTTTTAATTTGGATTTGAAGCATTTGATTTGATTTGATCTGATGTGATTTGATTTGATATGATATGATATGATGTCGTCTTTAATTTCATCTGCTTAGAACTAGGCCAAGTCCGTGAGGCATTTGGTAGGTCGATCGTCTTTTTCTTTTGTTTGGTCTTACTCGAAGTACTGAAATCCAGACAAATGGTTGGTGTTTCAGCTCCCACACTGCCATAGCAAAGTGGAAGGTGGTATCAGGCAGCTACCTGGATGTGGTAAAACAACTTCGATCTACTACTGGTGTGATCGCCTCGATTTTGAGTCTTGGACGGGGAGCTCGTCTTGGACGGGGAGTTCCTAGTTTGTTGTATGACTATAGGAGTATAAATAGATTAAGATTGCTTAGTGGAATCTAGTCGGCAGAAAATTATGCCAGGTCCTGATCATTTGCTTGAGTTGGCATCCCCTTGCGGTAGCCAGCAGTTTGCTTGATCATAGTCTTACTGTAGTGTACACGTGTGGTGACCGTATTTTGTTTTGCTGTACGCAGATTTTGGTGTTCTCTGTGTAACTAGAAGATTGTGAAATCCAAGGGAGAGAGAGAGAGAGAGAGAGAGAGAGAGAGAGAGAGAGAGAGAGAGAGAGAGAGAGAGAGAGAAGAGGGGGAGGGAGAGCAGGAACGCAATCAATATGGAGAATCCAGAGACAGATATTGTGGAAGTGGTGAAGGGGCTCGTGCAGAACCAGAGTGCGGAAAAGCAGGCGCAGATTGTGAAGGACTACTTCGCTCCTGTGGTTTCTTTTCGTGACTTCTACACCATTGTTACTGGACCTCGTGAAGTACTTTCCTTGTACCAGTTCTGGGCTGGAATGAATGTTGAGTTGTGGCCTGAGGTCCATGACGTGCTGTACAACAAGGGGGACAATACCATGGTGGTTAGGTTGACGCAACACTACCGGCCTTGGTTTCATTTTTACAGTGGGTGTCAGGTTGAAATCCTGGCAGTGCTAGAGCTTGCCAATTTCGAGGAAGTCGGGCCAGATGGCGTGCGTAAGGAAGTGAAACGAATCGCGGTGCAGCGGAACTATTACCTTGCTGACCCTTACGTGCGGTCAATCCCTGTGCTTGGGTCCCTTCTTGAAGGAGAACTTATCAAGGGTATTACAGGCCTGGCGATAGGAGCAGCGGCACGAGGAGTGAAAGCTGCAGCAAATCTGGGCCGCAGAGCTGTGCATGCTGCAGCTCCTGTTAGCTTGCAGATGGGCCCTGAACGCACGGGTTTGGGTGAGTTGAATTGATGTGCGTTGACTCCCTAATCAAGGGTATCAAGGTCTTGCACTAGGAGCAGGGGCACAGGGGAGTGAAAGCTGCAGCAAATCTGGGTTGTAGAGCTGTGCATGCTGCTGCTCCTGTTAGCTTGCAGATAAGTGCTGAACGTACGGGTTTGGGCAAGTTCAATTGACGCACGAATGTTGACTTCCCTAATCAAGGGTATCACAGGCCAGGCTCTAGGAGGGGTGCGAGTAGTGAAAGCTGCAGCAATTCTGGATCACAGAGCTGTGCATGCTTCAGCCGCTGTTAGCTTGCAGATGAGCCCTGAACGTATGGGTTTGGGTGAGTTGAAAATTGACTAGTGAATAATGACCCCCCTAAGCAAGGGTATTACAGGCCTGGCGCTAGGAGCAGGGTTACCTTAAGTGAAAGCTGCAGCAAATCTGGGTCCCAGGGTTGTGCAGGCTGCAGTTTCTGTCAGTTTGTAGATGAGCCCTGAACGTACCGGTGGTGAGTTGAAAATTGACGCCGCGAATAATGACCCCGTAGTAAGGGTATTACGGGCCTGGCGCTAGGAGCAGGGTTACCTTCAGTGAAAGCTGCAGCAAATCTGGGTCCCAGGGTTGCGCAGGCTGCAGTTTCCGTCAGTTTGTGATGAGCCCTGAATGTACCGGTGTGGGCGAGTTGAAAATTGGCGCGCGAATGTAATGTTGACTCTATCTGTCGACTAGATCAGGACAAACGCGAATACAATCTGCATGGCAGACGCCAATCGCACTTTGGAATAATCCTGCGAACTGGGTTGTGGGCCCCAATGGAAGTGGTGCCAATGTCGTGAAAGTTTGCCACGAGGCAGCCTGGGGAAAACTCCAGCATTACAGTTCTGACAGGTAGTCAGACCTAGTACGGCTGGGAAAAGAAGTCAGTAGCTTGATGGTAATTGCGTGTTGTTTTTTTTTGCTGTTTCTTCCCTGAACTTGGATCATTCCTCGATATCTGTGTATACTGGGTGATGCTCATCATGCTCTCGTTTTCTAGAAGGCCATGCATTTTAACTAACTACCTGACAGTGTATTATCAGATAAGGGGCAGAAACCCGTGAATCAGATAAATAAAACACTATGTATATTGAGGATGATGTTGTGACATGAACCTGTGCTGAGGAGTTTCTCTTGAGAGGTCATGGTACAAGAACAGTCACTCTTGAGAGGTCATGGTACAAGAACAGGTTGAGATCACCGGGTTGACCAGGGGGTGACGAGTGACATTCCGCACCTTGGTCCTTGATGGGGTACTGAAATGAAGTTGGGAACTTGTAGAAGGTATCCTCTTCCATGGGTACTAAAAAAAAGACCCTCCTGACGTTGGGCATGGCAAAGAGCCTGAGCTGCACTGAGAGGAAGAGCTGTGGACAATAATGTGTCTCTGCCAATGCTGTGCATGCGAGTCGATGTTCATAGTGGAGTGTGGATGAATCATGCTCTCAAGTTGGGGGGGATGGTGAGAAGGTTGCATGGAGGTGGGAGGGATGGATATGGAAATGAGGAGAATGAACAGTGCATGGGGGATGTAAAAATCAGCAGTTGAATGTGGAGGAGAGGGTGGGAATGATGCGGATGTTCATGGGGAGGTAAAATGCAGCACTTGAATGTGGAGGAGAGGGTGGGAATGATGGGGATCGGGAGTGGAGGAAGGGATTGAAAGGGTGGTTACCCAGGAAATGTGGGTGCCACAGTGAGTAGGAGAAGATCTTGCTGATTTTTTCATGGGGATGGAAGGGTTTTGTGTTTGGGATGCTGGAGGCTAGAGTTAGACCACCAGTACCTCTCACCTATTTTACCAAGAGCTGCTGGGTAATGAGGGAGGTGGGCGGGATTTGATGGTGGTGGACGGGTAACGAGGGAGGTGGGCGGGGTTTGATGATAGCTGACTGAAATTTCACGGCTGGTAGTGGACCGAAATGTCACGGAGCCAGCCAAAACTAGACCTGTGCTGGTTCATTTTTTTTTCGGCGCACAGGGATTTTAGGCTTGCATCTATAGCTAAACCACCCGTACTTGGCCCAGCTTTTGGCCGTGGGAAAAAATGGAGTAGAAATGTTTCTGGTCTGATGAGTTTGGGCACTCCTGTAGTGGCCTGCATGTTTCCTAAAACCGTGGCTTGTTAACGGGTATGGCGTAAGTACTGGTTCAAGTGTGTTTGTCTCAGGATTTGAGGTTGAACGCGTAAGGAACATGCATGAGGTTTCTGTTCCTAGATAGGTGTGTGTCTTAGGATTTGACTCTGAACGGGTACAGAAACATGCACGAGGTCTCTATTCATAGATTGAATGCTTTTTTTTTTCTTTTTTAAAGCTGCCCGTCGGGGAGCTAGGGGCGCTGGTATGAGCAGACAACTTATCTTTTTGGGGGTGGCTCCATCTATTTGTGGGGAGCAACACCTGCTGGAAAATGGGTCCAGCATCCCTTAACAACAGCCATTGAGGTCCATCTGAAAATTTATTGACCACCTGTCAGAGGATCGACCCAGCAGGAAAATGAGTAGCCAGAGAGGGGGGACAAAGGTTGTCTTCAGCCTTGCTGCTGGGTGTCCGAAATGCGTAAAAGCAGATCCACCGTCCACCCTTTCAGATACAGCCAACTTGGAAACTATGCAGACTATGCAGCCCTCCCCAACTCACTGTGCTCCATACCACTGAAGATCCACCGATGACAGACTATGGGGTGGGAAGGGGTCATGGAATCTGAGGGGGGGCATAACGGAATCGCTGCATCCACCTTGGTCCAGTCCTTGAAGCAAATTTTAGTCTCTTCTGAGGTTCTCATTACCAGATTCCGGGAGGCAGTCCCCTTCCCAGCGAACGGAAGCCATCCAGCCCCCTTGCTCATTCCCCAGCCAATCTTCTGAGAATTGTCTGATAGCCAGGGCCAAATCTTTTTTCGTTTGAATGAGATGCAATTTAGCTCTCACTGTCTGCCACTGTATGGTGAGTTCTTCATGAATGTATTGCTTGATCAGTTCAGTAATTTACTCACCCTCGAGCCGTACTTTCACTAGCTAACGTACACCGTTTCCTTCAGAGGGGCCACATGACTGCTCTCCTTCCAAAAATTCTTAAACATGGACTCTTTGAAAGTGTTATTCGTGGAGAAAAGCCATGTTTCACACAGAAGCGTTCTCCAATCCCATTGCCACACAGACTCTGTGCCCAGTAGCCTCCAAATTCTCTCCCACTAGCGCAAGTAAGAACTGCCCCCGGACATTACTTAAAGATATGCTCTATGCTCTCGGGGATTTTGTGGGTGGGAAAGGTGGTCAAACAGGACGCGCACCACGACGGCGCTAAACTGTCTGTTCCAAATATGTATGATCAACCAGCAAGTTGTACGTGGGAGGTGTGCTCTATCTGCCATTGCAGGGAGGTGAGCTTCGCCAGCCTGGCTCTTGTGGAAGCAATGCACCGATCGGGCTGGATGCTGTCCCTTCCTACGCTAGATGGGACATCCATTGCTGCCTCACAATACCCTTGAGGTTAACCCGAGGTCTGAGGAGCTGATATATGGCTTTCACTGATTAGGCGAATAAATTTATTTTGCTCCCTGCCTCGGTCTACCTGATGGGATGCATTGCCACTCTGCCGGGTCAAAGGGGAGGTTGGCAAGTGGGGTTTAGGCAGAACGGGAAATGCTACCCATTCTTCTTGCTCCCCGACGATAGCGACTACCCTAATTCTATACGGGTCCACGTGCTGCCACCATCTTCTCTCATAATGTGGGAATCTTGTGAGCCGATTGTCTGTTAGATTGAAGGTTATGATTAACTGCCTTCTTCCCCCAGGTGAAGACGAACTCGACAAACTCTGGCATATACCACTGACTAACTGCCTTCTTCCCTCAGGTGAAGACGAACTCGACAAACTCTGGCATTTGGACTGGAATCGGACAGGAACAGGGATTGTGCATGCTCATGATTGTGGATTGTGTGTTTGGGAGAATCATGTGAGGAGGCCTAGTACTGCAGAGTACTTGGTGGCAGTACTACTGGAAGGCTGGAAGCTGTAACTTGAATATCGTGGCGGGGACGGGGTGTCTAAGAGGAGAGGGAAACGGAAGGGTAACCAATGAGGCTATCTCAGTTGGTATACCAATGAACTGTGGAAATACAGAGCGGAGGCCGGTGAATTTTCACAAAAATTACAAGCGGGTCATGAAAAAGTGCAAATCCTTATGGACCTAAATGCATGGAATGATATCATTCTGAATTACCTGGGGCTGGTGGACTCGTCAATGATATCTCATGGCCGGCGCCCTTTAAAAGGAAAGGGAAAAGAAATGTAAGGGTATAATGTCACAATGTGGGTGGGCATAAGGATGATGTCTTTGATGATGGCGTCGCTGCTGAGATGTGGCTCTTCTCGAAGGTGTAAGTGACTAGGGTGTGGACCGGTGCCATTTCGCAAGTCGACTCGGGAAGAGGGTTTAATTTGGGACTGCGAATTATTGTGTGTTGGGAGGTTTGTTTGTTTCGGGATCGGGAAAGAATGTGTTTGTTAAATAATTCCGTGATAGGTTTGTTTTCCATTTGCATTGCCTGATAACTTTGAATATCCTTCTGAGATGTGAGAGTGGTGGTGCAGGATTGTAGGTATGTGTTGGTGTCAGCAGGGTCAAGCAGCTCTCTGAAGGACATTACTGAGGGCTTTACTAAGGCTGTGCTAATTGGTGTTGTGAAGGCATAATGGCAAGGCAGCTGTGGATGTGACAAAATATGGGCCTATCTAACAAAATATGGGCCCTCAGCAAGGCAACCAGTCTGAGTCGTGTATGAGCAGAAGGATTGGGTTATCCTCGACAGTGTGCATAGAGGAATGTTGGGAGGAAGATTGGTTGCACGTTGATAGTCAACTGCAGATCATCTTGTTCTTCTTAAACCACCAGTACCTCGCTCAGCTATTGAATCGGAGTCTCCCAGCGCGCTGCGCGCCAAGTCCTGCCGAACCGCCGTCGCAATTTTCTTTTTCGTTTTGCCTGCGGCCTCCAGCCAATGCGGTCTGGCAGGCCGAAGCCCAAATGGCGCGGCGCGTACACGGGAAGCGCCGCGGCCGATAGCTGGGCCAGGTACTGGTGGTTTAATGGTGTTTTTTATGTCTTCAACCAGTTTGCTGAAGGAGTAATTAAATCACCAGTACTTTGGACCCTTCCGTGGCAGAGCCTAGAAACACCCTGTGCGCCAACGAAAAAAACATGCGGGCTTGGTGTTTCTTTTGGCCGCTAACGGCAGTCATTTTGCACTGGTAGGGTGATCCTTGTACCTTTGACTCTTCCGTTGCCTGTGCACCAAAGAAAAAACATACTGGCTGGGTTCTTGTCATTTTTCTCCAGTAGGGGGACCCCTGTAATTTTGACCCTCGGTTGCCAAGCCTATAAACACCCTGTGCCCCAATGAAAAAAACACACGGGCTTGGTTTTTCTTTTGGCCGGTAACAACAGCCATTTCGCTTCGGTAGGGCGGGTCCTGTATATTTTACCCTTCTATTGCCAAGCCTAGAAACACCGTGTGTTAAACCACCAGTACGTGGCCCAGCTATGAAGTCCGAGCCTTGGCCGACCGGTATGTGGAGCCGTGACGAGGCTCGAACTACCGGTTCTTCACTTCCCAGGCCTTGTGCGAGAAAAAAACAGGAACATAAAATAGAAAAACAAATAGAAAAAGCACAAAGAAAAAAAAATAAAGCTTTTATTTCTGCTGGCGCCAGAGAGAGAGAGAGAGAGAGAGAGAGAGAGAGAGAGAGAGAGAGAGAGAGAGAGAGAGAGAGTATGACGGGAATGAATCTTCCCGCCCATTCCCGTCATAAGTGCAAAACGGGAACGAACCTTCCCTTCCCAAGAGGGAAGATTCATTCCCGTGATACACACGCACACACACTCACACACACTTCATTCCAGTCACACACACACACACACACACACACACACACAGAGAGAGAGAGAGAGAGAGAGAGAGAGAGAGAAATAAAGACACACTCTCTCTCTCTCTCTCTCTCACACACACCCGCTCACTGTCTCTGTCTCTCTCACTCACTCTCTCTCTCTCTCTCTCTCTCTCTCTCTCTCTCTCTCTCTCTCT